AAAGTGCCCAAGGATCGGTGGCATTTGTAGGCGTTGGTGAAGGTCGCGGAAAGCGGCGGATTGTTTGGGGCCCCAGACGAAGGCGACGTCATCCTTGAGGAGTTGTTGTAGAGGGTCGGCGATTTTCGAAAGTTTCGGCACTAAGCGGTGGTAATGAGCACAAAGTCCCAGAAAGCGGCGTACATCATGCTTTGTTGTCAGTATCGGGAACAAAGCAACTGCCATAGCCTTGTCAGGATCGGGGCGAACACCACTGCTGCTGACAATGTGGCCAAGGAATTGCAGTTCCTCATATCCAAAATAACACTTTTCCGGTTTCAGAGAGAGGCCAGCAGTGCGAATAGCCAGAAGAACCGCCTCCAGCCGCTCTATGTGTACTTCAAAAGTCGTAGAAAAACAACTACGTCATCTAAATACACTAAACAAGAGTACCACTTCAAGCCACATAAAACGTTGTCCATCATTCGTTGGAACGTGGCTGGAGCGGAGCACAGGCCAAAAGGGAGAACTTTAATTTCTTAGAGATCGTCTGGTGTAATAAACGCTGTTTTTTCTCGGTCCCGTTCATCTACTTCAATCTGCCAATATCCGCAATGGAGATCCATGGAAGAGAAGTAACGGGCGTGTCGCAGGCGATCCAAGGAGTCATCAATACGAGGAAGAGGTTGTACGTCTTTTTTCGTTATCTTGTTCAGTTTGCGGTAGTCGACGTAGAACCGCAATGAAGCATCTTTCTTTTTAACCAGAACAACTGGTGACACCCAAGGACCAGTCGATGGTTGAATTACGTCGTCGTCGAGCATTTGTTTCACTTGATGACGGATAGCATCTTGCTCCTTCTGCGACACGCGGTAAGCATGTAGGCGCACGGGTTGCACATTGGGCTCAGTGATAATTTTTTGCTTCATTAGAGGAGTCTGCCGGACTTTCGAAGTAGTGGCAAAACAGTCGCTAAAAGATGAGAGGAGACTGAGGATCCTTGCCCTCTTAGGTTCTTCTAACTGGCGATTGACGTTGAGGCGACTAGTCACGTCAGTATCGCAGCTGTTCTCAGTCGAAATCGTCGTAATCAAAAGGAAGGCGTCCAAATCATCGAATGCCTCCAAGTAATCTATGGTTGTGCGTTTCGCAAAATGCCTGTATTCGCCACTGATGTTCGTAACTAAAACCATAGTCTGGCCATTTCGGAGTTGAACGAGACTCCGAGCAAGGGCCATTTCCCGATCAAGCAACAACGTCAGGTTACTTTCGACGATGCTCGTAATCGACTGCTCCCGTGGTCACTCAACAAGCACGAAGACACTACTGCTAGGTGGCAACGTGACGCAATCATCGACTACGCGTAAGGCCACGCCACGATATTCGTTCTCGATGTCGGAGTCTGGAGAAACACAGTTAACAAAACTGACGAACAAATCACGCAGAATAATTATCGCTCCATACTCTTGCAGAAAATCCATGCCCAAATTACCGGCCGAGAACAGTTGGGCAGTACAAGGATTGATGCTACAAAAGCCGACGCACCAATCTCAATCCTGGTGGTGCACCTTCCTATAGGGGATAAAAGGTGTCCTCCAGCCATGATTAGTTGAGGGCCGTTCCATGTTGTCAGTACCTTGTGTAGACGGGTGGCCAATGAAGCACTCATCACCGAGTAATCAGCTCCCGTGTCGACAAGCGCAGTCACCGGATAACAGTCGACGGAAACGGTAATCGCAGCGGACGTTCTGTTGGCGGTTTCACAAACAGGCTTTAACGGCACGTCGTAAGGCAGCGGTGGAGGGTATTTGTCGGTTCGCGTGACTGCGGCCTCACCTCCGGAGGTCGCCGTTTTCAGTTTCCCCTGCGTGGGCTTGCGCCACTGACAACAGGAGACCCAAAGGCGGGTCGGGCGCGGCGCATTGATGTGGACGGGCGGGGCGATGGTGACCGTGACTGTCGTCGCGGCGGGACAGGTGTGTGATGACTACCTTCCAAGTAATCCGCAATTTCTTGCGGCCGTTCACCATAGCGTGGACAACGTGCAACTGGGTGGAATCCGCATAGGCCTATTCGTCGGTAGTAACAGTCGCGGTACATGTGTCCAACTATGTCACAATGGTAGCACAAAGGACGATTGTCGGGTGCACGCCAGGCGGTGGCCTTCCGTGGGCCAGGATGAAAATTGGCCTGAAAAGGCAGGCGATGGGCTGTACTTGGAAAGCGTCTGGGGGTCCCAGCAGGTGGATGAGCAAAATGTGCCGTTGACGGCGTAGAGATGCGTAGGGCATGGGCGTATATGAAAGCATGGGAGGTTCGACTTGCGATGGTGGTGAGGACTGAACGAACTGCCTGATTTCGTTACGAACGACGTCCGTAAGAGCAGCGCTACTGGAGGGGACGCTGCATGAATGTTCCGAAGTTCTTCGCGTACAACTTGCCGTATGAGTTCTGTGAGGACCTTACCTTTTATCACCTCCTGGTGATAAAAGCATCAGCGGACATGGTCGTCTGATGGATATGAGCATCAGCGGACATGAGCATGAGCGAATATGAGCATCAGCAGACATGGCCGTCTGATGCTCATACTGTGACACCCGCTGCCGAAGCATGCGCTCCATAATTGGGGCCTCACGTATGAACTCGGACACAGTCGTAGGAGGGTTGCTCACAAGGCCCGCGAAAAGTTGCTCCTTTGCGCCTCGCATTAGCAGGCGAACTTTCTTGTCTTCTGGCATGTGGGGGTCAGCCCGTCGAAACAATTGCGACATTTCTTCGATAAACGTGGCGACGCTCTCGTTCGGCATTTGAAACCGCGAAGAAAGTGCCTGCTCCACTCTCTCTTTCCGTTCGGGGTTACTGAACGCCTCGCGAAGCTGCCGATGGAACTCGTGCCAACTTGTGAATGAAGTTTCGTGGTTCTCATATCACACTCTTGCCGCGTCTAAGAGGGAGATATACACGTTATTCAGCTTACGGCGATTGTCCCAGTCGTTGATGGCAGCGACCCGGTCGATACGGTCAAGCCAGTCTTCGACATCCTCACCGGCATCACCATAGAACGGGTTGGGTGTGCGAGGCGTGTTGGTGACACAGGGTACGCTAACGAGTGGGTCATGCTTGGTTTGGGTTGCAGAGTTGGCAAACATTGCCCTCACGGAACTTGCCAAGGGGCAGTACTGTGGTGGTAGTCCTTGAAGGCAGCGGCTGTTTCGATAGATATCAGCAGACCCTGGTGCACTGGCGGTGGTTGCTTCTGGTTCAGGACCAGCATGCATAAGACGTTGCAGTACAGTAACCAGCACTTCCACCAGTCTGTCGCGAGAGGAAACGATAGTCAGGAACTCGAAGTGGAGGACTGTTTACTAAGCCACAGCTGCCATTCACTTCTTCGCTCTCGTCTTCTGCTACCAACACACGTGGCAATATATAGTAAATCACATAAATTTTAAGTGGATCAGTGACTAAAGTGAAGACAAGAGGAGGAATAATTTAAATCGACAATCAATGCTACCGCTTTTTTGATCAAGAAATGCGCATGCATGACAAAAACTTGCTTGAACAAAACAGCTCAAGTCTGACGTAGCAGAGCAGCTGGGCACCTAGCTGGTCCTGGCTTGAATAGAAGTTTATCACTTTGGCTCCCTCTACACCCCCCCTCTATGCTCCACTGTGCTATACACGACTGTTCTAGCTTTCTCTTATGGCAATGTGCTACAGAAATCAAGCGAATCCTAGTACCTGCAACACTGTTTAATGTAAGATTACGGGAACATAGCTTGTGCGAACGTGGATCAGGAGCCGCAATGTCGGCTCTTCGGGTTAACCACGCGAATCGAGTGCTTGTGCTGTGGCTGAGTGGGTGCCGCTTTATTACGACGATGATTTTCTATCTACGACACACACCAAGCATCGGCCATAACAGCCCTGCTGCGTTAATGGCGGCACAAACTTTTTGGCACATCTCGACACAAAATTGAAAACACTGAATAAAACCTGAAGTAATACCTGAAGTGAATCGCATGCACAAGTACGTGTACGCAGTGCACGCCAGGGGTTTACATGAAGGCACACTTCATCAAATGATAAGATGCAAATTGATAGACGTCCTTCAATGACAGTATCAGTTAACGTCGAATGCTTCACTTTTTTTGTTAGGCACGAGCTCGCCCTAGAGAGCACAAAAGAAGACCTTTGTCTTCTTTTGTGTCTTCGCGGTTTTTTAAAATGTTCGCGGTTTTGCTAAAAAATGCCTGCACATCAGTAAGGGGAGGTATTTAGGTACATACATTTAGTATGCCACGCAAAAAAGAGAGAGGACATTGAATATTCTTTTAAAAATAATATAGGCTATGCTATAAGTTTACCCCTATTATTTAGTGCAGTTTTTCTTTATTCATTTTACCCGTGAAAAATTTTGCTTAACTACATACCAGTAGCCATGAGAACATTTAGTTTTTTTTCAGATTGTTAGGCTTGAGTGAATATAGAGAACATAAACAGAAACGGGAGGGATAATTCGCGTTTAATCTCAATATCAGCGGTGACGATTATCTGAATGAATGTAATTGATGTTCACTGTCTATGAGGATAAACTTATCTAAAGAATTATTGTGTGCGCGCTTAGTCGCATTGCACAAATATATGACAATTGCAATATAACAACAAAAAAGAAAACTGACAAAATACAATCCTAGCCCACACCCTTTAAAAAACCTTATGAGCAAAATCACTTTAGGCACTGCAATAACGCTGACCAAAACGTGGGACCAGAAAGAAAAGAACTGTTGAAAAAAGAAGTACACCATGGTAAAATAACTTGACAATTACCATTTTGAAGACAACCCACACACTTCATTACACTTGACTTGTCATAATGAAGCTTATTTGCCACGTAAATGAAGCAAACGCATAGCTCGTGAAGTATTTCTAGTTCCTGCATTTTTCAATCGGTGTTTTTATTAGGTGCTCACTACGAACCAATGTGCCCAAATCAAGGTGCTGAAGTGTTTTTTGTGCAGGAGAGCAGCAGCAGAAATGGCGATTGTTCGGCAAGCAGTTGTTCTTGTAGCCCTTGTTGGAGCCTGCTGGGCACACAAGGACGGTGCCCCCGAATCGGCATGCGCTACCATGATTCCCGGGCACAAAGATTCAACACACGAAGAGGCCGGACCCTCGACGCCCTTTCACCTTGTCCAGGACAAGCGAGACTTTAAGGCCGGAGACGTCGTCGCTGGTGAGCACGCAGTCTTTTTCTTTAGGTGAAAGGTACACTGTAAACCGCTTCGCATCCCTAAAAGCTAAGTACGGCAATTTTTTCGCGGTCAATAGATCTGAATGAAATTCGTTTGGTGCGTTCCTTAGCACATTTTCGTAGTTTATGCCAAATTAAAGGATTGAGAAATGCGCTAAAGGTTTGCAAATAAATTTTATAGATTGCCTCAAAAACGTCCCATCACTTGCCAGAATTATTGGCAACACCATCTGTGTGACGTCTTGTTTGGCGTGTCAATGGAAGTAACGCAGCCGATGGCATCACTACTTTGGCCGCTACAGGGTTTACTGTGCAGGCCACAAGGAGACGGCGGCTGTGTTTGGCATAACACAGCAAAGCTTCCTTCCTTCCTCTGTGGTGTTTGACCATCGCTTCGCTGGCGTGGCTTTCGCAGTTTTCATACTCCGCGCCGGTGGGTCCATTATACGGCCTCCGGTCCTTGCCAAATAGTACGTTATGCCTAGACAAGGTGCGCGGTTGGGTGTCGGTTTTGGTATTGCATATTTTTGCTGATTAAAATAATTTTGAAATGTTCTGAACATTTCAGCTATTGAGCTCGTGACTAAAGTGTCTCAGGAACATAGAAACACCATTACCTTGACATGGTCGAAAAACCACCGGAGTTGGCCTTCAAAAGGGCCATGCAGATTTTTTCAAATTAAGCCATGAAATGTATCCACAAAAAGAGTTTACTGCTTGAATAATAGACCAGTGCACAAATTTTTAGAATGCGTTGAGTGTGACCGGAGATACAAAGAATTGTCACGCGCTGCACTGCTTTTTCTTTTCCTGATGAAAGCTCTGGAAACTATTGGAAGTTCTAGAAAGGGCGAAGAAGATACGTCACGCGTACCTCGTTGGCTTGTGCACTTTATAACTTTTTTTTCTTCGAACGCATGACTTTTCAATTGAATCGGGAGCACACGCGTCTACACGCCGCCTCTCCCATGGCGGTCGCAGTAAATGCCGAGCGCGCTATGTTCAAACGAACCATTAGCATCCTACTTGGGCTTTCGACGCAGTTATTGCTGAGTTTATAGCATCATTTGTCGAGGGAAGAGAAAGCTAGTTTTAGATTACCTTGGCCACGTTTGTAAACTGCAGGGCGCATGCTGCGCTGCAATATTTCGTTGACGTCTTCCCGGGAGCCTCGACTACCGATCGGCAGTGTTTTGTGACCTTGCTCAAAAAGTGTCGCAGAAACCATCTACCGTGATTTCAAGCTAGTGAAACACTCTTTTGTTATATAGAATTTTCAAAAGATATATGGGGTAAGGGTGTTTTCTTTCCCTAATATCTTTCGAGGAATAATGTTTTTACTAAAAGACCCTTTCGGACCTATACATGTTATGGGTTATCGAAACACTTTTGGCCCACACGATAGTGCTGGATGACAACTGGGACAAGATAATTGAAAATATTTCAGGATAATGCTTGAGTTTTGATTAAAACTTGTCCCTCTGTCCTTTACGAGCACACCGTGACTTTACAGCCATATGTTACTGCACCTCTACTAAAAAAATAGCGTGACTAGATACACTCACACAAAACCAATAAGCATCACAGAAAATGTCAAAGGAAATATAACAGAACCAGCGCACCGCTGTATCTGCAGATGTCACACTGGGCGGAACTAGAGTACCATTTCGTTCAATTGCAGCATCACATCAAAAAAGCGTGTACAAATCCATATAGCATGACTGTTCAGTCAAGACAAAAAAAACTTTTAGGGCAAGTGGCAATCACAGGTGTGGGGAATCACCAAACTGGATGTATACTTCCTCAGAGTGACAAAAGGGGCCTGAACTACGCGGTCCAGCGCGATTGGGGAGCGACATTCAGTTATTCCCGAACTTCTGGTCATTTTTTTTTCACTTTGGTCACTAGACATTCCAGAAAATTTACAGCGTGGCTGTGCACGTAGGTGTAAATGCCCCATTAAACTGAGCTGATGAGCCGTTGTGCAGCAACCATAGATTTTGATTTGAAAGTGTAAATGGAGTCATCGGGCGCAAAACAAGCACTGCTTGTAATTATAAACACATACTCTTCTCTAACATTGTACTTAACTAGCTTGACTGCTGCGGCTAATAGTGATAATAGTGAGTTTTAGTTTAGCACTCGAAATGACCTTGCACACGCAACGAGCCGGAAAGAGCAAGACCGCGCATGCGCTGAACCTAATAAAGATGCGCACGCGACAGCTCTGCGCCTACGTTGCACCCGCAACGATCATTGCATATCTTACCGGCGGCTGTCTCGCGAGAACTTGACGGCTGCAAGCATCGACGGCATTGCTGCTGCAAAAAAAATTGCCCCCCCCACCCTCCTCCCCACCCACCTGTACCCGAAGATAATTGTGAGGAAATGCGAATGCATTTCTTGCGCCGAGAGTAGACGGCATAGCAATTTTAAGGGCGTAAATTATTGACGACACGAGGATTTGTACCGCAACCACTAGAAACCCCTTGAAACTTCTTGCAATACACATTCATCATCTCCTGTTTGTGTTGTTACTGTACATCACAGCCATTATGTCAGCATCTTATCAACACAAACACTGGCAGGACAAACGCTACAAATGCGTTTCAAACTCACTGCATTGAGGAGGTGGCAAGTCATGTTCAACTCAAAGACAGGGTGGGGGGTGGGGGGCTCCAGTTGCTAGGAGCGAGGATAAGCGCGCACGCCCGCAGCTCTTGCTATGAAAGACTGCGGCGGATGGATCCCGACAGACGCCTGACATAGCTCGACTAATGAATGCATTTGCATTTAACAGTCTGCGTCCATCAGTTACTGAAGTTCATTTCTACGCCTATGGATGGCGTTAAGCAGCACTAAATTAAGGCTGTTTACGCTGAAGCGCCCTTCACCTTTCGGTACTTGCGTATGGTAAACTAACGCTGTGCACGATAGCCTCAGTCGTTACGTGCTGAACGCGCCGCGCGTTGTGTTCCTTGGGCTTTGCGTGCACTAAACTAAAACTTCCTAATGACATTGGCGAAGATTATAGAAGCAAAGCAAAAGCCCAGCTCTGAGCCCTCCAGATATTCTTCATGGAATGAAAGGCATGTATGTGAACGCAACTGATTTCCTGATCACTCATCTGGGCCTTCCATCAGAGGTTGTACGTCACCACTTCTCCAGTGCACGCACTTAAAGACCACACTCTTATCTTCGCAGTTACACTGTCATCCAGCGGCACGCCCTTCAAGGGTTTCTTCGTGAAGGCTTTTAACGAGAACAACCAGGAAGTCGGACAGTTCGAGGCTAGCTCCGATGCCAAGGCCGTCACCAAGTGCTCCGGCGTTACTCACACCAGCCCCACGGACAAGACCGCCGTCAAAGTCCTCTGGAAGGCACCTGAGGGAGCCGCCGGCAAAGTGCACTTCAGGTGAGTTTGCTACCCCTTATTTCATTACGTTGCATGAAACATCTTATTGGATGAACTAGGGCTCAGCAACCATTCTTGGCGTAGTTGCATTGGGCCGACATGATGAATCGTGGGATGGGAGGGGTGGCTTTGCTGGCAAATCATTGACATAATGATAAACAAAACTGCAATAGAAATGCTTATTTTTGGCTCGCATGCCACAACGTTGCAATTTAAAGCGCAGGTTTCGAAAAAATATTTCATTGCATCTTTTCTCGGTGAACATTTTTAGCCCGTTCACATACAAACAGTGTTTGTTTACCGCAGAAAATCGTAGAGGTGTTCGTCGGTTACATTGGAAGCGGGATTTCACGTCGTACGACATGACGGTGGGCCCCTAGTTGCAGGCCCCAAGGAAAAACTCGGTGCTTACAACCTAATTATGAGTGTGAAAGTGGAAGTGAAACTTTTTGCGACAGCATTGTAGGAGTTTTCGTCAAGTAGTGGATTAGTTGTAACAAAGGGTGTGTTGATATAGCGAGAGTATGTATAATAGAATATTCTGACCTCTTTTTTGCTATTTATTTTATCTACCGTAACCCTTCAGGCATTTCTTGGGTTCAAGGGTGATTTTCAGAAAACTACCCCTGCCTAAGTTTCCCCAATTTTCGCACACACTATTGTGATCATATGATATGCTGAAGGTTGACTTCGCCCCTTTCCAAAGCGTAATGCGTTTGTTACGGGTGTGCGCAAACGGTAGTGAGTGTAAAAGAAGAAACCTTCACTGTGCATCAAAAGGAACGTGCATTTTTATGTGCGCCCTGTTTTACGAAGAACTTCCGTGTACAGTTTCTGAAGCTAAAGTTTGTCGAACTATATTTCTGTCAGGGCACTGTCATATAGCTTAGAAAACAGTCGCTTTGGAACATCTCATGTGGAGCGCTTTGTTGCGAGAGTCTTTATGCGGTTGACATAATTGCGTTATTCGGTAACTGCGGGAAATATGACTGAATTCTTACATGCTTACGTCGTTTATACGGCAAATTAAGCAATACAGCAGTTGGCGATCGCCAGTATTAAGTGGGCCAAGTTCCACACGTTTTTACAATTTCTAGTCAGGCATGACTTTTCACAGATCACGACAACTGGAGGGTAAAAAAACTATAAAAAAACTTTACTTGCTTGTAGCTTGCGTATTAAAGAACGAATTTGAAGTGAAAAAAAAGGGGGGACTGAAGAGAAGAGTAGACAAGACGAGCTCTCACTTGAAACTAATATTCACTACATGAAAGCAAGGAAAAAAGGTACACCCCTTTTGGATGGCACACATGCGTGGACACTTGCGACTGCTCAAGTGTCCACGCATGTGTGCCATCCAAAAGGAGTGTACCTTTCTTGCTTTCTTTCTTGTAATAAGTATCAGTTTCAAGTTAGCTCAAGTTTTTTCGTTTCTTGTTTTTTACGCTTCATATATTTCCTTAATGTACAAACTCACCCATGCTTCCGTCCAAGCTTGCGTATACTATGTTAGCGAAGTAGCATTAGCATCATACATCTTACGACACACAAGACATGAGACTCAGCCCAGCCACTAATACATAGGACCGCAGAATTTCGCTACCCTTTCCGCTTCCAAAGAAACAGTAGAAAATAAAGAGACATTAGTCAAAGCATACCCATTAACAATATTTCAATCATTACTGACCGAGCCGTAAAGCTTCATGCAAGCATGTTAAGTTGAAATACACCAAGATAAGTTTCTAGTGCATGTTCGCAAATCTATGAGGGCAAAGTAAGGCAGCTAAGCCCATCAACTGCGCTACACCATGCTTTCGCAAAAGTTCAGTGTAGGAGTTGCAATTGTCAGCTCAACAATTTGTGAAGAGTAAAGTTGCGCGCATAGTGACAGCGTGTGCACCACACGTAGAGGGGTCCTTACATCCCATTTTCGAAAATAATTGTGTGCGCTGATCGTTGTACGTTAAAACAAGCTGGCGAAACTTTAATGCCTTTTTTTCTCGCTGTTAGTTTGTAATCAAATATTTTTTTTATAAATGAGCGAGCGGCCTGAGAGCCGGGCAACACAGCGCGCTCGCTAGCCGTGACGTCACGAGCCGCTTTCGGGGTGAGCTGTTCCGCGGTCTGCATTCCGAAGGACGATCGTGTTCAGTGATCAGCTGAGCTTGCAATCGAGCTTTTTCTGCGTTGTTGAACATGCCACTGTAACTAAAGGACTTGCAGCAGTTGAAAAAATCATCACTGCGTCACCAATGCGGCACCGGTACTTGCCACAAACAATTTCGTCAATCCATGTGAGGGCAAAACGGTTTCTGCGAATGCGCAACGCGCATGCCGTTCACTGCTACGGATAAATAATTATTGAAACTCCTTGCAGCCAGGGTCATGTGGTTAAGCGTCACACTTGCTATCTTTTTACCGGAACTGAATGCCATCAACAAACTTCGAAGCAAAAATTCGGCCGCAATACATATCGAGTGTAACCCTAGCACCGCACTCGCATGCCGTTCAGTTCGGATGACGTTTACATATGCCGCACGCAACAACCGATGAATAAACAATGGTTCTAATGTGCAGAATTGTTACGACTACTTATTTGTTATGCTCAGCACCCAAAGTCGTGCGTGCACGGTGCTAGCAAACAAAAATCTACACGCTTTACTAATTCCACTGCGCAAAGTAACACTTGCTCACAAACGAAGCGTCGGCAAACCCCGTATCCCGAGCTCGCTTGCCAAATAAAGCTAGTTATCGTTGCTGAAAGACATATGCAACGTCTGCCACGACACCGAGGTCGTTTGCATTTGGGTTCGAAGTCGAAATGCGCAGCGTAGACACGACGTCGTCACCGCTTCTGCTGCTCGACGAACCACGTGGTGCCTCACTCGTGAAGTGATGATGGGGCCGACGACTTGGCGATGTTACCGACAACATGCCGCAATACTTTCAACACACTGCCATGCGCGGACCGTGCGGCAAGAAACACACGCAACACAGTGAACCCACTGACCGCATGCAGTAGGTGCTGTTTGGTAGCAGACGACTGTACGGCTCCTGACTGCTTGTTACGTCACACATGCTATGGCAAAATAGCAGTCTCCAGCCGTGAATGGAGTTTACAGCCCATGGCTTCTATGGGTTATTTTCAACTGAAATAATTATTTGTAGTTCAGTTTTGACACGTGTACAAACGTATCTGAACTTCTACCTTTGCTTTTCACCGAAGCCGTCAATGGTTGGGTGGCAGTGTTATGACCCCTTTAACAGGATAAAAACAATCAACATTTATTATAGTGAGGTTTTACGATAGCCACCACTCAAGCTACTAGTATAAAGTACTAGTATAAAACCACACATATTTATGAAGCTTAGGTTGAGCGTAGGCGTGCGCATGGGGGCAGAGGGTGGCCCCCCTTCTCCACTCAACTATAAGATGCAGGGAATGAAAAGACTGCAGCACAAATTCACTCAATAAAGAGGGTGGCGCTGTGATAAACACTCTACTTCCCCCCTCCCTTCCACCCCCCATGCCTGGAGAGGAACCCTGCGCACGCCTTCGCTAGGAATGTTATATATATTTTTCGCAGTGGGATCACCTTGCACTTGTTTGTACCACCACTGATTTTGCATGTATTGGCACTTTACAGGGCAACTGCTGTCATCGACTATCACAAGAGCGTCACCGGTATTCAGAGCACCGTGGCTTAAGCATCATCCGAACCATTTCCTCTGCACAGTGTCCTTTCCAAGACTTTCTACAGATAAATGAGCTATACTCGTCTCGCGACATTCGGAAGCGCACCAGGAGAACATTGGAATGTCATCAATAAATAGAAATGTCACCGTTACCCGTATGTTGAGTGACTAGAAAGCGAAAAAAAAAGAGAACACAACGTCTTGCAGCTGTGCTTCCATGACTGCAAGATATGCCTCCGCCTTGTAGTCATGATTCAATATTCACACATGTTTTAGCTTTTTAGGCACGTCATAAAGTTTATGCGTAATAATCATTGACAAAAAATGACAGGTTAAGAGAGGCTCCCTGGGACAGGTTAAGAGCGAAAACTGTATATAGCTGGGAGCAACAAAATCCGTTCGGCAGCGTTGTCACGAGCCGTCTCCATTGGTTGTTTTATCAGTTACTCCATTCGCAAGCAGGCGCGCTGTTCAATGCGTTGGAAATGACGTCATCGCAGCCGTGGGCTCCTAACCCATGCGCGACAGTTAATTAATTAATTTATTTATTTATTATCAATACCCTTCAGGCCCCGAATGGGATTGAGTGGGGGGGGGGGGTGTACAGAAAAGACCATAAATAAAACAGAAACTGCAACAAGGAAAAAAAAAGAACGAAGAAGGATTATACAATGAAAAAAAAGAAGCGTATAATGCACTGTAGTAAAAATCTTTCTACAAAAATCGAGGGAACATATAAACTTGCAAATGCTCCCGAGTTTTCACAGAGTCTCTTTATGAAAGAGTCTCATGAGGAAGACTGTTCTAAATTGCGATGGCACGTGGCAAAGCCGTATCATTGAATGACAGTGTGGGACCGAAAATGCGTCTGAAGCTGAGATGATTATGAACACGACGTGAAGTACGCGAAGGAATTTCAATCGAGAGAGACGACTGGTCCAAGATTTGTAGTGGCGTTTATGGAAAACGCATAGGACGGTGACAGAGTAGCGGGAATCTAAGTTAGAGAAGGCAATATTGCGTTTGGTTTGGGTGATGCTGGAAATACAATTGTACTTAAGTGATGAAGCGGGCTGCACAATTTTGGATGCATTCAACTTTATCTTTAGGTATCGTTGATGAGGAGACCAGATTGATGAAGCGTATTTCAACTGAGAGCGTACAAAGGTTAAATAGTCCTGTTGCCGTATGAAAGTTGGTGAATGATGCAGATTCCTAAAGTTCTGTTTGCTTTCGCGCATACAATTGCGATGTGACCACACCAGGTAAGGTTATAACAAAGATGAACGCCGACATATTTGTAAGTAGATGAACAAGAAATTACAGCGGAACGGACAGAGTAAGGAAAGGGAAAAACACAATTTTCACGTGTGAAAGAGAGTATACGCAGCACTTAGATGTGTTAAGTGTCTTTTGCCATCCGACACACCACTGATTAATTATTTCCAGGTCCTGTTGCAATGTGACATGGTCTTCTTCAGAGTTATTGTTTCTATACATTACGTAGTCATCCATATAAAGGAGACGAATTGACGAAGAAATGTTACAAGGAAAATCGTTAATATCAATTAGAAAAAGAAGATCACTTTATACACTACCCTGGGGTGCACCTAATGAGACAAATGAAGTATATGAGGTGAAGTTATTGACAAATGTGAACTGCTGTCGATTACATAAAAAGTTCTAGAGCCAAGATAATGTTGATGAGTCGAGTCTAAGGGCCGATAGTTTAGCAATTAGAGGACAATGGGCAACTCAGTCGAATGCTTTCGCAAAGTCGAAAAAGGTGCAATTAAAGATTCTGTTATTGTTGATACCGTTATGTAATTCCGCCGTAAATTCTAATATTTAGGTATCGCACGATAACGTTTTCCGAAAACCGTGTTGATTTACGAAGAAGAAGGTATTAGACTCAAGATGACTGTAAATGTGGGAGGCGATGATGTGTTCCAGTAGCTTGCAAGAGATGCATGTTAGCGAGATTGGGCGATAGTTACCAGGAGAATGTTTGTTCCCGTCTTAAAATATTGGAATAACCTTTGCAGTCTTACAGTCAGTGGGAAGTTGACCAGTGAATAAAGACTGTTGAAAAATTAGGCATAAAATTTGACTGGACGAAGCGCATGCGTTTTTGAGTATCTTGGAATTAATATTGTCCACACCACACGATGTAGACAACTTTAGACCGTTTATAAGTTTAGATATGCCTTCGACAGTAACACTGATAGAGGACATAAAGCAGTACTCAAGATCAGAGATGCAGGAAACTGATGAAAAGTCTTCATTTGCAAAGACGGAGCAGATAAACGAATTGAAGGATGAAGCACATTCAGATGCAGACACAGGAATATTATTAATGTTGTGTAATGTAACCATGTCACTGCCACGATCAGGCGAAATGTTACGCCAGAATTTTCGGGGTTTATTTTGCGAAAGTGTAGACAAGCCGCCGGGGTGGTGCAGTGGCTAAGGTACTCGGCTGCTGACCCGCAGCTCGCGGGATTGAATCCCAACTTAGACGGCTGCATTTCCGATGGAGGCGGAAATGCTGTAGGCCCATGTGCTCCGACTTGGGTGCACGTCAAAAAACCTCAGGTGGTCGAAATTTCCGGAGCCCTCCACTACGGCGTCTCTCATATTCATAGCGTGGTTTTGGGACGTTAAACCCCACAAATCATCATCTTCATCAAACGCATAGGCAGATCAGTGTTAAAATATTTTTTTTTCGCTTCACTAACAGCAAGACACTAAGATTTTAAGCAGTCTTTATATTTACACCAATGTTCAGGAGTCGATAACTTTTTCGCGCAAGCATATAACCTTTTCTTTTTATTTCTCAAAGATCTAAGTGATCCATTAAACCACGGTTGGGATTTGTCGTTAGCGATAATTATTTGTGGCACATTTGTCTATGAGGAGCACCGTGATGTTTTAAAAAGAAATCCAGTTATCTTAGACAGACCTGTTGGTTCATGAAGGAAGAAAAGGATTTTTAAGGGAGACATCAAGCTCAGCATTCATTTATTCGTAATTTGCCTTGCTATATTCCCTAATTACCTTACGCTGAACACCCGGAAAGGTTAGTGGGATGTTGATTAAAAACTCTAGAATCTTGTGATCACTAAAGCCGTCTAATTGCAAACCGGGTACTATGGTATGAAGCTCTGTTGTCAGAATAAGACCTAAAATATTATCACATGTGGGCGCTAGAATAAGCTGAGGGAAATTGAAGTCAAGACATAGCTCACTGAATTCACACGAAGCACTACACGACGAAGACATGCATGGCCAGTTAATGTCAGGAAAATAGAAATCGCCAAATAAGTAGATTCTTCCGGTGGGAAAATGGTCAAGAGCCCTAGAAATACTTTTGTGAAGCTCAGATACGAAAAGACGGTCAGAAGAATGTGGGTGATAACATACGCCCATCAGTATTTTTCCAGATAACGTAGGACAAGCGACCGGTTCGTATCCCGGCTGCGGCGGCTGCATTTCCGATGGAGGCGGAAATGTTGTAGGCCCGTGTGCCCAGATTTGGGTGCACGTTAAAGAACCCCAGGTGGTCGAAATTTCCGGAGCCCTCCACTACGGCGTCTCTCATAATCATATGCTGGTTTTGGGACGTTAAACCCCACAAATCAATCAATCAGGACAAGCGACCCAAACTGAATCAAGAGAAAGGTCAGTGTCGACAAGAAAGGAAGGCCCCGCCGCGGTAGTCTAGTGGCTAAGGTACTCGGCTGCTGACCCGCAGGTCGCGGGTTGGAATCCCGGCTGCAGCGGCTGCATTTCCGATGGAGGCGGAAATGTTGTACGCCCGTGTGCTCAGATTTGGGTGCACGTTAAAGAACCCCAGGTGGTCAAAATTTCCGGAGCCCTCCACTACGGCGTCTCTCATAATCATATTGTGGTTTTGTGACGTTAAAACCCCCATATCAATCAATCAAGAAAGGAAGGTATAGCTCGTTTGATGGCTAACAGCACGCTGCCACCCCTTTTGTGTGCCCGGTCATAGCGGTAAATGGAGTACTGATTTGAAGCATGATATAGCTCAGAGTCACAAACATCATCGTGTAGCCGAGTCTCGGTTAGTAATAGAATGTCCGATTTACTATCATCAAGATACGAATCAAGCAACACACGTTTAGGTAAGAAACTGCGATTGCTAGTAAATGATACTGAAGGATAAGCAGCACATGAAGCAGATTGCCGCGGAATAATAGCGCTGCGTGCATTGGCAGCTAGCTATATAGTAGGTATGACGGTGTCAGTACAATTGTCATAGATATTTGTAATACTGTCGATACAAGTTTGTCTACATTCAGTTTGAAAGGACGATTTTGTTCCCTGGCAAATGGAAGCAGTTTTTGCGTGCTAGCCGTGTAGCCTGCGAAAAATCTTCTCTGATAGAGATGCTACTATTTCTCAGCCGATGTGCAGCGGTGAGGGTTGCCTGCTCGTCCTTAAAAAAACGTAAGCTTAGCAACTATCAGCCTGTATTTGTTTGGAGCAAATTTACCAAGCCGATGCACACGTTCATACTAAAAACATGGTAGTGGTGATCGCTAGCTTGTCTGAGCATACGGCGATAATTTTACTTTCAGAAGATTCCCAACTTTTTTTTTCCTCGTCGCGAATTCCAAAGAACAACAAGTTGCACCGTCACATTCTATTTTCATCTTTATCACACCTTGATATAACTGCTTGAAGCTGATCAGAAATAGAGCCAGAAGCGCCATCAGCAAAGTTAGATGAAGGAGGGGCATTAGAAACAAGCTTAGCTTCCAGAGTTGCTAATCTCTTGGTCAAGCTTTTGATTTAATTATAAGCAACAAGCTTCCTGCTTTTTTTTTAGCCCCTTAATTTTATCAACGTATTTTGCCAGCCTCCACCCTAAGCACTGTTTCAAGAACGATTGCGAGTGTTTTCTCAACGTTAGGGCCGGGATTTAATTCGATGTCACCTGAAAGCCACCACAACAACAACGGTGCAAACTTCCGGTGGAGGCATGAGAGAAACGTCAATGAAGAAGACAACTTATCACGCAGGTCAGTAGTGCACGACACCGCAACAAGGCAATAGTGGCTACTTTTTAAACAGTGAGTGTCTTTGAAGTAAACAACCTGGAAATACAGCAGCGGTAAGCGTCCCA